TCACAGAACGTTCTGTTGCTAAAACACGCATCCACTGTACAATGTATTACTATGGGCTCTTCGCGAGCTCCTTTCAATTGTGGGATAGAGAACCAGTGAAATTGCCTCTTTCAATTTCACGTTCAACTCATCAAAAATCAGTGAAAATAAACTTCATACAAGAAATAAATTATCTTTCTAGAGAAAATGTGTTCCAGCTAAAATAGTGTTTTACTGTACTTTTATTTCAAACAGTAAAGTTTTGTCATTCCATAACAAATTTGTTTAGATTGTTAAGAGTGTTATGTATAGAAAAAAAAAAGAAATCACGAGTAGAAGATAAGACATAATTATAATGTAATTTTTATCTTAAGATTATTGATAGATTTTAGCCCAAAATTGGCAAATTATAAAAAAAAAAAATTGTAAATGGTTTAATAAAATTGTCATTTTATAAAAAAAAATGCATTTTATTTTTTCCCATTTGTCTTCACGGAGGCAAACAGTTTTCACTTTATTTATAGCAACTTAGAAACTGGAAGTAAAATAAACTTAATCCGTAGTTTTAATCTGCAAAGACGAACGTCATCATTGGTTTATCTTTGTTGCTGCTTTTTAGCCTTTTCACCACCAGCCAAAATTTTCTGTGCTTGTTGTATAATTTTGAAGCTAACAGACAAAATTTTAGTAAATTTCCAGTTTTTTACTGAAAAAAATTCGGCTCTTTGTCCCAATCCATCTAGGTTTCAAATTCTCTAAAGTTGATGTAACATTTGGTTCTGATTTTCATTTTCACATGGTTTTAATTTAAGTAGTTTCACTTGTAACGAAACAGTATTTATGATAGGTAAGTGCGTTTTCTGATTCAGTGTTTGAACTTCGGTATTCTGAGAGAATCCTCGGTATTCTGAGAGAATCCTTTCCCAAAGGCCAATAGTTTAAAAACTACATTGAACTGATTGTAGTTGACAATGAAATACTGTAAAATATTTAATTTTTGCTTGGAATGATTTTCGCTGAATAAAAAACAGTGAATAATGCACTTGTTTTCCTATAATGTGTAAATTAATTCCAGTTAAAAAAAACTATTTTACAGTGCAGAAGGAAATAAATTCCATCGACAACTTTTCACAACTTTTTTTGTATATATTTTTGTGGCAGGTGACAGTTCTATACATTGAATGTCACTGTTGCCTTTGTCTTTTGTATTGTAAAATAACTAATTTTCACTGGGTTTAAAATTCACTGATTTACCATTTCAGGCATATTCAGTGGGTTTTATCATTTAGATAATGTGTTATATGCTCAATTTTACATATTCACTGGGTTTTAATTTAGCGCATTTTCCAGTCAGTAAAATTAAAACCCAGTGAATAATTAATCCTTTTACAGTACATACTTGTGTACGAGACTCAAAGACAGGACTATGTCTATCAAATGGCAATTTAATCCGCTATCCTAGTATTAACCAGGCCTGGTCGAACAAAAGCACTTGTGGACTAAAGTCGTATTTGTTAGTGAATCTCAGTCAGTGAATTTGGTGATTCCATCAGATCTGTGGCACAACTCACCCAGGGTAGGGAGGGATCAAACTAGGTTCTGCCAATCACGAGTATGATGCAACAACCACTACACTGCCATTGATTGGTTCAGCCAAATTTGAACCAATGAAATAACTAAAATAACACAACTGGCTATTAATTGAGCTGTACTCAGTATTGTACAGAAAAGCAAAAAAAAGATGAATTCTTTATTTAAAAGTTTTGTCAGAAAAAATTTGGGCTGCAGCTGTGTTATAGAATTATTGAAGTCAGTTTACAAAGGCAAAAGAAAAACTAGTGTTCCTTATTTTGTACCGCCAGACCCTGGAGGGTTTTTTGTCCATATTTAAGATAATGTCACATATTTTGGCAAGCATTGAAGATGATTTTATAAAAATTAGAAACTTTGCAAAACTGGGTAATGTTAACAACTTTATAGGATGGTGGTGTTGTGCAGCATATGTTTGAATTTAATGTTAACATTATATTTTACACACGTAGCGTCGCTGCGAGGCGCATATCGAACACAATGCAACGTGGCATCTACTGGCAGTTAAATGTTTTATGACAACTTGCACAGGGATTTTTTTAAACTAGTGAACGGGCGCAGCGCCCTCATGTCATAGCAATGTGCCCCCTTACCTTGGGGAGCAGATCCTCTGGCAACCATAAAATTCTGATTAATCACATTTGGCCACAGTCTTCAACTGTGACCACCTGTCTGATAGTAATTTTGTCCCCAAGGAAGCCATAGAATGCTCCATTTTTAACTTACAATTATTAAAAACTCCACACCCTGGTAGGGAGAACCCTATCTCCCCCACTTGGTGGCGCCGCTGAATTGCAGTACTCCCTCTTGCATTTTTTTTTCTCTAGAAAAACCCCTACTTGTGTGCTTAAGTAATAACATAAACTGTTGTAACAAAGAATAAAAAAAGTATAGAAAAATACCTCTACTGTTTTTGACAACTTTTTTATCTCCGCTGTCGACTTTGTCGAGGGAGCTTATCATATGAGTGATTGTCCGTCGTCCGTGTCAATGTTTTACTTTTTCGACTTCTTCTTGAAAACTATAAGCCTGAATGCTTTGATACTTGGTGTATATGTACCTTGGGTAGACCTCTCTCAGATTTGTTCATTTCATGATCATATCTTCAATTCTCTAATTTTGGTCAATATTTTTGTAATTTTTGGTAAAAAGTGATATTTTCGACTTCTTGTTAAAAACCACAAGTCCAATTGCTTTGATATTACATATATAGGTACTACATGTGGACCTCTCTCAGATTTGTTCATTTTGTAATGATATCTTTAGTTCTCTAATTTTGGTGAATATTTTTGTCATTTTTGGTAAAAAGTGATATTTTCTTGTTAAAAACCACAATCATTTATGGTGAAAAATGATATTTTTGAATTCTTGTTGAAAACAGCAAGTCCCATTGCATTGATACTATGCATATTGTTCATTTTCTAATGATATCTTCTGTTCTTTAATTGAAATGTGCATTGCCAACAGCGGAGCTATCTCAGCCGACAGGCTGCTTGTTTTTTATTCAATCCTACGAAGAAAACATAGTCAAGTCTGACTAAGTGATTTTTTTTGACTTGAGGTAATGGGGTACCATAAAATCTGTATTGGAGTCGCATCCCTAATATAAGTCGCACCCACTCTTTTTGAATAAATAAGACCAAAAATTCACCATTTCTTGTATGAATATAGATGCCTTAATAGAAGCCGCATCTTTTCTGTTGCATTGTACCATTTTAATAGAAGCTGCAGTTTCTAATACAGATTTTACAGTAATAAATTTAAAACGAACATTTGTACTGATTTAATTTGTGATAGGTGGCTCAATAGACCTGTGGTGAAAAAAGTAAATAAGGATTTTTTTAATTATTTTCTGGATGAGTCAAGATTCCGCTACAGGCAGAGTATTCTGGAATTTTAAAATTTACATTTTTCCCCACATTGGATTAGGCACCATCCGTAGTTTAATCTGCGTATACAACAGCCCACAGTTGTTTATCAGACAGGTTAGCAGAGTTAGGCGGAAATAAATTATGCCAATTTCTTGTTAATATTCATTAGCTCAGATTTTGCAGAGTTAGGAAGATTTACGTTGCATCCCCATACTGCATCTAAATGTCTAATTTTCCCAGCATGCAGTGCCCTTGCCCTTACTCAGATTTAGGCAGAATTTCAGTAATTTTCAATTCGCCATTATGTGCAATACGTTAAATTTGATGAAATTACAATTGAACTGTAAAATTTTACTAAGATGAAGGGAGAATTAATTTTACAGTATTGTAGTCTCCTCAGTAACACAAAAGGTTTTTTTAGAATAATGCAAAATATACTTGGATAACCTGTTAAAAATCTTTCCCGGATTCAACTATGGCAGATTGAAAAATGGTAAAGTTGGCACTAAACCTTTCAGAGGGAGGATGTAGCTTTGAGACACCCTAACTTCATCAAAATTAACCATCATCAAATGTGAGCAGAGCAGCACATTAAGTTTCAAAATATCCCAAAAAAATATGTATTTGTTCAATCTCGCTCAGTGTTTTGACGCCATTGCATCACTTTCACTATTTGTTCTGTTTTTACGTTCGATTTCTCGCATAACGTGGGAGCAAAAAATGGTCCAGTAACAAAAATTATGGGTTAGCTAAAGTCGTTTTTTACGGTATGCTATAAGTGATTTTTGTGCTTTGACCATAAAAAAGCAAGGCAGGGAAGATAACGGAGACACTGAAAATAAAGCCTGGCACAAAAATATTTTTAAAAAAAATCTGGTTTGTTGACGTTCGATACTGGTGTCAACCTGGCCTCATTGTCTGTTTTGCGGTTATTGTATCATAGAACTGTCAAAACATTACTGGCGGCTGATCGGCTGGTAACAAAAATACAGTTCATCTCCATGGTAACATGAATTCTATGGATAATCCTTGACAGCTGAATTGTTTACTAAACTGATGCATTGTGGGTATTAAATCTTCCTCCTATTGAAATTTATTATCGAAAGGTCATGAACTTTAGTATTCTCATTGCATTGATACACAAATGGTCATTGAGAGTGAGAAAGCCACCAAACTTCCTTTCGTCTTGCAAACAGTGTTCTTATTCTATCTAGTGTTGTAAACTTGTTTCAATGTTGGTGGTCCTAATAAAACTGAATTTTAATTTCAGTTGGTGGTCCTTTTGAATGTCTACTGTAGAATATTTTATTTTCGCTTGGAATTTATTTTTGCTATTTTCGCTGAAGGGATGATCCTGTGAAAATAAAATCCAGCGAATATACTTTTTTTCCTATATTTCACATAAAACTCATCAAAAATCAGTGAAAATAAATTACATACAAAACGCCCAAAAAGCCTTTTCAGCGAAAATAAAGTATTCCACAGTACTTTTTTTGACATTTCTGCATCACTGTTCTGTTTCATATTTCTAATAATTTGTTTTTTTCTTTTTTTTTCCAGATTAATGAATTAAACCTAGATAATTGTCGGAGTACCGGGATTATAGAAGGATTGACAGATGAATTTGTGATTTTAGGATCACTGAGTATGATAAATGTGGGACTCACAAGTCTAAAAGGATTCCCAAAATTACCAAATCTTAGAAAAGTAAGTAAAAGAAAATTCCTTCCAATTCATGGGATGTCATTATTTGGAGGTGGGGTGAGCGATTTAATCAATACACAACTGCCCAACCCACAGAAGTAAATGGTTCATCCCTTAATGAAGATGTTCTGCTAAATTTTTAGCTCCGCTGTCGACTTTGTCAAGTGGAGCTTATCATATGAGTGATTGTCCGGCGGCGTCGTCCAGCGTTCGTGTCAATGTTTTACTTTTTCGACTTCTTCTTGAAAACTACAAGCCTGAATGCTTTGATACTTGGTGTATATGTACCTTGGATAGACCTCTCTCAGATTTGTTCATTTTGTAATGATATCTTTAATTCTCTAATTTTGGTGAATGTTTTTGTCATTTTTGGTAAAAAGTGATATTTTCGACTTCTTGTTAAAAACCGCAAGTCCAATTGCTTTGATATTACATATATAGGTACTACATGTGGACCTCTTTCAGATTTGTTCATTTTGTAATATCTTTAATTCTCTAATATTGGTGAATATTTTTGTCATTTTTGGTAAAAAGTGATTTTCTTCTTGTTAAAAACCACAATCATTTATGGTGAAAAATGATATTTTTGAATTCTTGTTGAAAACAGCAAGTGCCATTGCATTAATACTATACGTATTGTTCATTTTCTAATGATATCTTCTGTTCTTTAATTGAAATGTGCATTGCTAACAGCGGAGCTATCTCAGCCGAGAGGCTGCTTGTTTGTTAGGTTTAAATTGTCTAGACATGGCTGTTTTGTGCATTTGATGAAGTAGAATTTATGCATAAACTTCTAAAAATCACACATCCTGGCAAATATGACCTACTAGGTGACTCCAATACAAATTTCTCAATTTTTTCAAAACTGGGGTGCGAGGGATGAGGTTGGACTAATCTACACTAACTGACAATTACCCAATCACAACACTAGTTCCATACACTCAACTGACAACTGCCCAATCAAAAATCTTGTTCCATACAGTCAACTGACAATTGCCCTATCGCAATGCTTGTTCCATACAGTCAAGTTTCTAGTCATGTGATCACAATTTTCCATATTTGGTCATGCTTTCCTAGTCATGTGACCTCCACTTTCCATATTTGGTAGCAAGGATGATGTTAGCACTGGGCTATGAGTTCAATGATTCTAAAAGTGCGGCACAGTTTCTTTGACATTACTGTGTTCTGACTTGCTCAGTCTCCTACTTGATGGTTAAATACTGTAAAATGACTTAATTTTCACTGGGTTTAAATTTCACTCATTTACCATTTCAGACATATTTAATTTACAGTAGTGCATTTTCCAGTCAGCGAAATAAGTCAAATTAAAACCCAGTGAATAATTAACCCCTTTACAGTAAACAAGTTTCAAGTTCATGGCTTGTGCAATTTGTTATCTGGTTCAATGTTATGAGCTATTGAAAATAGTGGAATCACCCCCCCCCCCCCCTCCTCCCCCACCTATGCAGACTTTGTTTCAGTTGCCAATTGGCTACCTAGATGTACTTTTAATCACCATTACTTAAATTTAATGGCCATAGCAACCAAAATTGTGTATAACAATGTGTGTTATTAATAATTTAATATAATAATGTTTGTAACAATTATATTTCAGCTTGAATTAAGCGACAATAGAATATCTTCAGGTCTACATCCGCTTCTAGGCAGTCCTAAACTTACACATCTTAACCTAAGTGGGAATAAAATTAAAGATTTGGACACGTTAGAACCGCTGGTAAGTACCAATTTGCAGTTTGTTCGTCGCGCCATGAGTACACGAACTATTGATTCCATATGAACGAGAATGTTAAAGCGAGGAAGTAGTCACCTGCACATGCGTCAGATGGCCATAGAGTCATTGTTTACTAACAAGCGTCTACCCATGAGCCTTTGCATTTTTAGCGTGTTATCGTCGCTTGGGACTCGATTCCCCACGTGCTCAGGTGACGACCCTCTCGCTTTAATAATCATCACAATGCAATATGCACATATCCGCAGAAACAGTTCGCGAGTGTTGCGTAAGGCGAGGGGAAGGTACCAATGTTTATAGTAAGTTTCCATTAGGTGTACGTTTCCTAAACGCTATGAGGATCCCTGTCCATCTGTCCCAGATCACTGAATTGACTGAAATTTTGTCAGTTGGCTCTAAAATTAGGATTCATTTCCATAAATAATGAAGAATGTAAAAAAAAGTGCAGAGTTTGGCCATGAAAGTCTGGGAGTTAAAAGGTTGACTTTGGGGGAAAATTGTGAAGCTTTGATACAGTGTGAAAGCCTACCATATATTCTGATGATCAGAATTCCTGCAGAAATCCACAAATTCGAAAATATGAAATCTGTTTGCAATTTTTTAGAGGTCTGAAAAACCAAAACTTTTAACAAATAAAAAAAGTAGATTCTTGATTCACAATTTGAAACTGATTGGGCATTTAATTGGACTATAAACTATTTTAGATTTATTTTGATCGTATTTGCTGTATTATTTCATAAAAAAGTTGATCTTAAAAAGTCAATGTAGGGAACAATAGACATTTTTCTGTACGCTGCGAGATAATGTGTTATGCGTGAAATCAACGTAAAAACAGGACAAACAAAGTATATAGCGTTGTAGTGTGACATGCTTTTCATTCTTAACAATGTGTTGTACACATTTGGTGAAGAGCGGCCTTTCGATGCGAGTTACAAAATAAAGATGTTCAAAAAAATTTGCAGCAGATTTTGGGCACGCATCTTTCTTGCAACTCGTGGGATCTCCCAGTTGAATGGAAATCACCTATTTAGATTCTTCTATCTGTGTAGATAGCATACTGATAAAAACTATTATGTTTACAGCAAAAATTTTCCAATTTGAAAAGTCTGGATTTGTTCAATTGTGAAGTGACAAATGCGGAGAATTACAGAGAACAAGTTTTTAATCTGATACCAAATTTAAAGTTTTTGGATGGCTACGACAGAAATGACAAAGAAGCAGATGATTCTGATAGCGGGGAAGAAGATGATGAAGAAGGTATGTAAGAGGCATTATGATTGGCCGAATGTAAGTTGAATGTATAGAACGAGCATTGTGATTGGATAATTGATGTGGTTAGGCATGTAAAAAGTGTTATGATTGGCCAATGGACCAGCATAAGGTTGTTTTGAATATAGTATGCATGTATGTATGGTTCTTGTTTCAAAGAACAATGTGACTTCTTACTTCCTGAGAATTGTCTCATAGTTGGAATCTTGTGGAAACGCACTGCTTAACCTTTTCCCTCTTTTCATCACAAATTTACAAAATAGTCCCCAAGATTAGGACAACAATAGCCAAATTTAGGGGGTAAAAACTAAAAATTGACATAAATTCTTTATTGTGGCTCAAAAATTGGGATTTATTTTCCGAATTATTGTAGAAAGTCTGGTTGTGAAAAAGTTGATGTCAGCAAAAATTTGTGACTTAAAAAAACAGATTAATGCTACACCTATGTAAACTATAGAAAGGATTTGGAAGTTTTTAAATTTGTTTTTTCCCCCAATTAGGCGAATCAATAAATGAAGAGGATGAAGAAGATGGAGCAGAGAGTGACGTAATCGTGGAGGAAGGAGATTCTGATGATGATGATTCCGATGATGACGACACGGACGATGACGATGATGATGACGACGACGATGAGGATGAGGATGCTGTAGTGAATGCAGGTGAAGAAGAGGACGGTGCAAGTGATGATAGCGATGATGATGATGAAGCTGATGATGTAAGTGATTCAGACGGTTCAGATGTCGGCTTAGAATATCTTCAAAAAGAAATATTACCAGTAAGTGGTGAATTACAGGGCCCAGAAATGCACAACACATAATTCGACCTCGTACAGAGGTTTTTCTAGACAAACGCACACTGACAGGGAGTACTGCAATTCAGCGGTGCCACCAAGTGGGGGAGATAGGGTTCTTCCTACCAGGGTGTAGATTTTTTGATAATTCTATGTTAAAATGAAGCATTCTGTGGCTTCCTTGGGGACAAAATTACTATCAGACTGTAGCTGCATGTCACCCCTGGTCAATCAGAATTTTATGGTTGTCAGTTGTCTTCTGAAGCAAAGTGCAGACTAAATTTCCCACATTTGTTTTCATTGTTAGTCACCTGATCTTTACTATCCATATTTGGTAGTATTTTGCTATCATGTGCCAAACTAATTTCCCATGTTTGTAATGAAAAGAGGGAACTGGTAGTGAGCTGCAGGCAAACAATACAAAATTTCTTGCGTAGAAACTTTACCTTTTGTCTTTTACTGTAAACTACTTTTTTACCAGGAATTTTTTTCACTGAAGGGGTGAATTTATTCCACATTCAACTCGCCATAAATCTGTGAAAATAAATTCTAGATAAAATGAACCATTTTACAGTACTTTCTTGATAAACATATAACACATTAGTGAAACCTCTCTTTGGTAGTCCATCCAAAGCTATTTACTTACAAGATTGTCCGATTGGCTACCCAACTTTAACAACCTAACAGTTGGACGAATCAGGAAGCCTATCTTCACAGGCTGTTACCTTTTGTCCTACTATGGTGAATATATGTGAATATGTCAGTGATCACATGATCTATGCATTCCATATTTAGCTTTCTAGTCACCTGACCTAATCTGTTTCAGTCACATGACAGTGTTCCATATTTGTTCATGCTTTCTAGTCGTGTGACCACAATTTTCCATATTTGGTATCAAGGATGATGTTAGCACTGGGCTATGAATTGAATGATTCTAAAAGTGCGGCACAGTTACTTTGACATTACTGTGTTCTGACTTGTACTAAATCTAAAATCGGAGATGCAAATTTATTCAAATCTTTTCTAATAATTGTTATTTTGCTTTCTTCAGGAAGAAGAAGATGAGGAGGAGGATTTTAATCCAGACGGTGAAGTGTCGGCGTCGGAAGAAGATTCAGGTATGTAACTTTCACCGTCAGTCCCCTAAACTATGTAATTTTCTGTGCTAAGAAAATTCACAATTTGGGGGGAATTTTATTTCATTCTTAAACCACCATCAGACTCTCACCCAAATTGTTTTCACTTTATTCTTGTATTCTTCAATATTTCTGGAAATGAACCCTAATGTGCCTATTTTTGTGCCCTTCTGAAAGATAGTGCAGATTAAAAAACGAAGACTATTTTGTGAATTTCTGATGAAGAGGTGGTGAAAAGGTTGAAATGTTCCGTATTTGGCTTCATTTTCTGGTGACCTAATCTGTTCATATGTTTTAAGTCACATGACATACTTCTATATTTGGTCATGCTTTCCGAGTCATGTGACCTCCACTTTCCATATTTGGTAGCAAGGATGATGTTAGCACTGGGCTATGAGTTAAATGATTCTAAAAGTGCGACACAGTTTCTTTGACATTACTGTGTTCTGACTTGCTCTGTTAAAAAATAAACAAGTTTTAAGCCAACTTAAATGTGGAAGATTACGATATTCTTGAATGTAGATCACTGGGTGGATGGTTCTGCTAAATAGCAAGTAAAAAGGCTAATCCATGAGTAGTTTTAAAAAAAAAATGATGAAAATGTGGAAATTTTTACTCTCCCTACCATATCGACATCACAAATCAAAGCTGTTTTTTTTTTCTGACAACATTTTTTTTATTCATTTTTCACAATCCTTCAAAACACAAGGAGTTCTTTCTAAGCTTTCTTTGATTCCCAAATTTGTTGATAAATTTGGACAAAGATTTGATTCCATTTCTTATTTTCTACAACACTTAATCAAAATTTTGAAAAAAAAAGTTTATTTTTCCTGCGGGGAGAAAGTTCAAAGGTCAAATGGCTCTTTAAACGAGTGTTTTCTGAACTGAGAATCATCAACAATGTCTGGTTCTCCAATTCATAATTTAATCGTTTTTTTCTTGCAGAGGAAGATGATGCGGCGGCTCCCCGGGGTGAAAAAAGAAAACGAGATCCGGATGACGAAGGAGGAAGTGAAGATGATGATTAGAGGACCCTAGTCACTTTTATTTTCAATTTTTTTGATGATACATATTAAGAAGTTTCCCTATTTGTAAAATAGTACCAAAATTTTCCATTTTCTATAAATAGTTTGTCAGATAAAAAGATGCAGTTGCCTATCATGTAAAGATTCTGAATTTTGAAAAGTCCTATTTTCATAAATAACCATAGAGTTAAAGATACCCAACTCAAATGTCAGCCTCATTCTGATGAAGTGATCCCCCTAGCAAACTGTAGATGATCAATGACTCCTTGGTAATGGCAACATCAAATACAGAGACTTCCTGGAGAATAGCAAATAAGTGCAGACTCTTTTTTTTTATGTATGTATATTTTATTTCTGCTGGTGAATTCTAACCAACATAAGGGGTCTCAACATCAGATTGAGGCTGGCAACTCGTTGTGTCCTTGTTTGGAAATAGGTTAAAGGTCAACTTGTAGACGATATAAATAGGTAAAGTAGTTCTAGTCTCCTGGCTTTAGTTGTTGTATTCTCCCAAAAATAGACACTTCAGATGTGTTTTTTTTTTTTGATGGAGTTGAATTGCTAGGTACGCAGCAGACAATTTATTACCACCCAAAGTTGACCCTTTAAGTAACTCTGGTCTGATGTGACGTTGTACACTATCATTTCTAATGTACGCTTTTTCCCGATTAAAAAAAAAAAATTAAGTGCAAGAATCTAATTTTCGCAAGGAATTTCTTGGGTTGTTGGGGGGAGGGGGAAATTTTTTGGGAGGGGGAAGGTCAAGTTTAATTGCCCTTCTTATTTTAAGGAGGGAGACTTTTATATTGATTCGTACAATGTTGGTGTGAATAGGGAAAGCATGACACTTGTACAGGTTATTGAGGGAAAAATAGAGAATTTTTTGCAAGAAAATTTTTTGAAAATAGTCATTCACTGAATCCTTGTCAAGTTTGTTGAAATTTTCTTTGGGAATTCTTGTATTTTGACTGTTTTCTTACTCTGACATGTCAAATACTCCATATATGGGCATAGCTCAGTCATGTGATAGTATACTTGAATCCATATAAGGATGTTTATATTTTATAAAAGCTCCCATATATGGATATGTTCTAATTTGGTTAGTCCTGTGATTATTATGCTAATTATATCCATATAAGGATGTTCTATTTTATAACCAGTCCATATATAGAAGTATGACATCACTTTTATTCAAGCTTATATGGAAATTTAATTTACATAGAACCTAATATAGAAATGTAGCTTACAAAATTGCCCAATGATAGATCATCTAATTCTTTTAAATTTTTTCCAATCAGCTTTCAATTTCATTATGTTGAATTCTCAATGTATGGGATTTTTTTTTAATGCTGTCAATTAACTTTTTTCTCAGAATATTATTAAATTTTGTCAAAATAATTCACGCTCAGTTCAATATTAATGTTGTATGAATGTTTTGAACCAAGTAAGTCATTTTTTTTATCAATTACCCAAATATATACCATATTTGCTCTAATGTGCGTGCTTATGTAAGTGTTGAAAATTTCACACACCATTGTAAATTTTTTCTTTAAAATATAGATTGTGATGTCTACTGCATGACTTGTTTTTCTTTTCTGACTTGCAAAAATGAAGCAGTTTGCATTTCACCAATGAGACCAAAACTAGTTTCCAAGTGTATTCTGTTCATCCTGAAGAGCGCTTCTAAATGAGCAAACATGGTAACCACGTAACTTGCATTTAATATTCCGTCTGAGATGTGTTAAGCAATATTAAATTTTAGGTGAAAATAGTTGATTTATAGTGAAATCAAAACTAAGAATTTGTTACGCTTAAAGAGGGAGGGTCGTCACCTGCGCACGCCTGGGAATTGAGTTCCAATCGACGATAACTCGCGCTAACAATGCAAAGGCTCATGGGTAGATGCTTGTTTGGAAACAATGGCATGCTGACGTATGCACAGATGACGACTCCCCTACTTTAAACTTGGGTGGTGATCAAGGTTGCAGTCCTTGTCAAAAATTTTGAATTGACGCAACGCAATTGGCCGCCAACATCTAAAAGTCAAGATTTGCAAGACATGTCTTGTGATTGCATCCACTGGTCAAAATACCTCAATTACATACTGTAAATTACTTTTATTTTAGCTACAATAAATTTGTTCTGTTTTGTATAATTTATTTTCACATATTTTTAACGAGTTGAAAATGAAATATAAGGGGAAAAGAGGTATATTTGCTTTTATATTCACTAAATCATCCCTTCAGCAAAAATTAGTGTTTTACAGTATGTTAGGGAACAGTGGGTACAAGATTGGTTGGTGATTTGTGTCAGGTCCATTAGCTACATGCTGTCTTGGCAAATGTGGTCCAATTACACACGATTATTTCCTGCAGTACACAGAAAGCTACTGAAGACTAGTTCATGGTACCGTATTTGTGTCTTTTAAGTACTTGTGTCCAGTTGAAACAATCGACAAGTTTTGAGTTGTGCGCACATTCCAAAACGTTCCATTTTCATCTGCGTAGGCGGTTGATATCACCATGTAAACATTAACTGCTCGCAAGAAATTGAGCGGGCCAGAAATCAACCCCTCATTCTTGCACGAAAACTGACAGAGGGCGCTATACATAACTCAAAATTCGTTCAACATGAATGAATCGTTGAGAGTTGGTGTGCATATACTTAAAACTCACCATAGTGTTTTTTGGCTATCATTAATTGCAGACTTTTCTTCTGCAGGGTTTGTGTAGTGTGATCATTTCAGAGTACATTCAGTTGACGTAGTAACATCTTTTGACATGTCAGAGTATGATGAACCCTTTAGAATAAACATTTCTAGTGAAACACAACTTGTGTTTGTTGATAATTTGTTCCAAAACAGTACATGTTTACTAGGAATGAGCAATGTTCTCCCATGATCTAAGTAAGAGAGTACATGGTTGACAGAAGGAACTTTAAAAAAGAATCTGGGGACTAGCTTGTTTTCTGTGCAATCCATCAACAAAACACCAAGGAGTGTTGTTCAGACAGTGACAAAACTGTAGTAGCACAAAACAAATCCAAAAAAATAGAATTGCTCAATTTATAAACTGCATTTCATAGCTTTACCATTGATTTTTGATGAGCATCTTGCTCGGTCGCTCAGAACACTCGTGAGCAAAATCACGATAATTTTCAATCTCTCTTTGGAGACACTGATTAGCGAGTGTTATGGCACCTGCATGCTCTATCCTCGGGGCGGAGCTACGTCACAAGACGTTCTACGTTGCTAAGACGCGCACCACTGTACCACGTATTTCTACGGGCTTTGTGCGCGCTGCTGTGGAACGCCTGTGGAGCCGGTGAAAACTCGAGAAAACAACACAAACTCAACTTTGAAGTAATCCTGAACAACCAAATTCATATATGTTACACACGTAGGGCTAATCCTGTTACACTGTTCAGGGCACTCTCAACAATCATCGCAAAGTACCGTTTTCTGTGAGTTTTTGGTCTTTGTTTTCACCGCAAAGGTTGCCAGGCAGTAGAAAATGCCCGGATGTGCGCCCCCGAGGATAGTAACAAGAACCATGAAGAATGGCTGCTGTGTTCAGTCAGAGCTCTGTGCAGGTATTATTTTAGAACACTTAGAATAAGGGATCAGGGGACAATACAAAACATATGTTTGTCTGTCATACAGTAAGACAAATAACATATACTACATCCCCCACGACCATTAGCTATTGGGAAAAGCACATGATTACCCAATCATACAAGTTAAACCTAAAATAAATTTCAGATTCTAGGCATTGGTGGAGTGGTTTATATTGAGCGGGACGTCACACAGATTCTAGGCATTGATGGAGTGAGATATATTGAGTGAAATGCCACACAGATTCTAGGCATTGGTAAATTGGGATATATTGAGTGAAACGTCACACGGATTCTAGGCATTTGTGGAGGGGTATTTATTGAGTGGAATGTCATGCAGATTCTAGCCATTGGTGGAGTAGAATATATTGAGTGGAATGCCACACAGATTCTAGGCATTGGTCAATTGGAATATATTAAGTGGAATGTCACACAGATTCCATGCATTGGTCGAGTGGAAAATATTGAGTGGAACGTCACACGGATTCTAGGCAATTGTGGAGTGGTTTATATTGAGTGGAACGACACACAGATTCTAGGCAATTGTGGAGTGGTTTATATTGAGTGGAACGACACACAGATTCTAGACATTGGTGGAGTGGGATATATTGAGTGGAATGTCACACAGATTCTAGGCATTGGTGGAGTGAGATATATTGAGTGGAATGTCACTCAGATTCTAGGCATTGGTGGAGTGGGATATATTGAGTGGAACGTCACACAGATTCTAGGCAATTATGGAGTGGTTTATATTGAGTGGAACGTCACACGGATTCTAGGCATTTGTGGAAGGGTATTTATTGAGTGGAATGTCAT